CCCTCAACACTGGTGACAACTCACTCTACTACTCAAATATATTGGATGTTAGGAAACAGACTGCCATGACTTATTGCTAAAAAAACCTAAACCAAAAATATAAATAAAAGAGAAAACTGCAAAAAATATATATATATACCGTATTTGCAGTAGTTTTTATTTTTAGACATTTTATTTTAAGGTTTGGTTGAATTTGAACTGAAAGACAAGCAATTTCAGGCCTGTCGTCTGCTGGACATTCATTGCTAAAATAAGCAGTCTGAATTTACAGATTTATGTTGTCTGCTGAAGCTAGGAAGTCTGAATTTGCAAACTATGTTGTCTGCTGGACTTAGCATAGACATTTCATGCTAGAGCTAAGGAGTCTGAATTTGCAGACTTATTTTGTCTGCTAGACATTTCATACTGGAGCTAAGGGGTCTGATTTTGCAAACTGTGTTGTCTGCTGGACATTTCTTGCTGGAGCTAAGGAGTCTGAATTTGAAGACTTATGTTGTCTGCTAGACATTTCATGCTGGAACTAAGGAGTTTGAATTTGCAGACTTATTTTTTCTGATAGACATTTCCTTATTTCTTCCAAGCTTGTAATCCCATGCTAATACAGTAAAAAAGACAGAATCGGTTTGAAACACAGCCTCACTTACCATACATCTGTCTGTGAAATTAATACCAATCTTGTTTTGTATTTAGAGTTATTATATTGTATGCAGACGTAGTCTGGTTTCTTGTTAAAATGGCTAACCACTAGATCTAAGTACTGTCTATTTATACCTGTAGAATGACACATTATCTCATAGCCATTCACTGTCTATCTCATGTTATTTTGAGACTAAGTAATTTGTCTAGTTTGCTGGGAAAAATTGGCTGCAGAAGCATTGAGTAATATACCTGGCAACATTTTACTGCTGTAATCTTAACCTTTTCATCCCTACCCCCTCTTTTCATCACAAATTCGCAAAATTGTCTGCACTTTCTATCAGAAGATTGGGACAAAAATAGCAAAATTTTTGAGTAAAAACTGAAAATTTACTCAAATTTTGTCTGTTGGCTCTAAAATTAGGGTTCATTTCGGAAATATTGAAAAATATAAGAAAAAAATTTGGGTGAGAAAGTCTGGTGATGAAAAGGTTAAATACGGAATTTTTGCTATTGTTGTTGTAACATTTTTAAGCTCTTTACAGATGAGATTATTACCATATAAAAATGGAAGTCGTTATCTAGTAAAAAAATCATGAATTTTAATTTCATAATTTTTCAAAAATTCCAAAAAGACTTAGTCAATAGAAGTTGTGTCAATTTTAATCCAAAATTATCAAAATAAATATAGAAAAATACATAAAATTTTACACCAATATTTGGCTGAGAAAAATAATGATGCTGTAATTATGGTGTGGGTAGGGGCGGTAGTGGAGGGTTGAGATTAATGTCAATTTATAAAATCATTTTCGAAGCTTATTTCTCTCTTACTTTATTTCCTCTCCCTCTACCTATATATATATATATATTGTTGCTAAGCAACAGTGATATCACATTCATGCGAAAATTCAGAAATCTGTGTTTGTTTGAGCAGAGGTTAGTAGCGCTCCATTGCCCGATAACCCAGTGAAGTGAAGTTACATGGTGGATAGGCAAACATCAAGCCATTTTGTAGGAACATATCCTTGTGAACTGAATCTTTTGATGTATATGCGCGCTGAAAATGTCCGCTTCCCAGTATATAATATTGCTGAAAAATACAGCTTTTTACTTGGTTTGTGTTTGCCTCAATCAAATCATTTTGTTGTTTTTTATAAAATTCGTGTATAGTCATTGAAAAAAAAAGAAATGTGTACTCTTCATCATTGTGTTTTTATTTCTCTTATTGTTAAACTGATGATGATTATGATTGATAACTGCTGAGCATATTTCATAATCAATCCATCATCTTTTGTAGATTGTTATCCATTCACTTTCTATTTACATTGTTTTTTTCCCCTGACCAACCGTTCATGGCTGTATTTGCATGTCACTGAACTCTCAACTCAAGGAGTTATGGAAAATATTCTATTACATAAATTTTAATAAATTCATGTATCCAATACAAGTGATGAATCTTGAGCTATCTACCATATTTACTATATTAGAAGCACACATGCACAAGCAATTGTCATTTACACATGCACTACTAATAAACCAAATACTGTATTTTACATGACAGATTGTTGAATATAAAGTCATCACCATACAAACTGTTTTTTTTACATGCAGCTGCTCTTGTTATGATATCCCAATTAGCCACAATTCTTTATTTAAAATCGAGTGTTATTAAATGAATAAAGTATAGGAAAATTACCAGTACTTAGCATGGTCTTTTTGTTCAGCCAACTAGTTTCATGCTATTATTCCATTCTTTCATCCTCCTTACCTAAAGTGCTTTACCTAAAGTGCTATTTTAAAACAATTAACAAAGTGCGAAAGCAGTATGGCATAATTATGCTTTTTTTTATTCTCAGCTGATTTATTTCATTAAAAAAATGATGGAATTGTCTGATAATAATAAGAAGCTTATTTCGTATTAATTTATTCTTTGATAAATAGGATTTTAGTTAGCGCATTTCAGATAAATTGGTTAAGATCATTATGTGTATTTGCTAAGATGAAATACAAAACAAATAAAAAAATAATATAAAAACAAAAAAAAATATATGTCACTGTGCCACATCCTTTGACCAGAAATAAATCTTTTTTACCTTGCCCGTACCATCAAAGATGGAAGGGAAAGGTATATTAAGGGAAAAGTTTTGTCCGGCGTTGTCGTTGTTGTTGTTGTTGTTGTTGTCGTTGTCCTCGTCGTCATCGTTAATAATTGTTATTGTGTGCATAATAACTTTACTAATTCTATTCCAAACTTCATCAAACTTGGTCACCTTATTCATCAGTATAAAGTCTTCCCTGAGTTTGAACAACAGATGCCTGTATGAAAATATCATGCAAAAATTGAGAAAATCTGATAAAATATTTTGACTGTTTCTACTTGACTGATCACTGGTGATACACATAAAAGGTCACTGATCTCAGTGGAAATATGCATTGTTGTATGTGTTCAATGAAGCAAATGATTTATCTTGTAATAATATCCTTGGTAATGTATCTCAGAATCCCATACTGGGTTTCAAAACCAACTCATACACATTTGCAAACCTACCAATAAAATCTTTACAGAAAACAAGATGTCAGAAA